GGCGCCTCGCATCTCCCATGCACGGGAAGAGAAGTCTTGGCAGGAAAAAAAAATGAGTGAGAGAGGGAAAGAAGGATCACACTTCGTACAGTATGCTGGCAATTTGAGGCACAACTGGGAAAAATCCTATAATTCCTACCTAATCCTACCGGTTCACCTGGAAAGGCGATGTTGGTGTTATCTGGTTATTCCATCACTCCATTGACTCTGAGGAAAGCAGCTCGTGATCGCAGACGATGAAAGAGGCATGCAGGAGAAACGCGGTCGATTGCTGCAACATGGCCTCAGTCACATTGTTCTTGGTCAGAGGAGACTCAACACATTCGCGCATGATTCAGCAGCTAATTTTCATAGTCGTTTCGAAATATATTGTCCTCGTTTTGAGGATACTCGGTACAAAGGGTTGAACTAATTCCTTATCCCGATTAGGTCCTTTATCCAAGTCTCGGAGATGCAAAATATTGTGAAGGATGAGGATGGCATATTCCAGNCATCAAACTGGAAAAACCTACCACACTCGACATTATCTATTCCTTTAATTATCTTGAAAGCCTGGATGAGATCGCCCCTCCTTAACCTTCGTTCGAGCGAGTACAGTCCCAGCACTTCTAATCGCTTCTCGTGTGATAGTCCCCTGACCTCCTTAATCATTCTAGTGGCCCTCCTCTGTACTCCCTCGAGCGCCAACAAATCGCCCTTATTTGTAGGCCTCCAAAACTATATGCAATATTCCAACCCGGGTCTTATCAGCGCCGCATTCATCGGAAGAATAGCGCGAGGTGCCCTACTTGCAACCGACCGACGAATGTAACCGAGAATCCTGTTGCATTCGGCCACCGTCGCTTGCGCGTGCGAGGGAAACTTGAGGTCCTCATCGATAGAAACTCCTAAATCTCTCTCTCCGTTTGCCTCATCCAATTTAACATCGCCGAACGTGTCGAGAGACCTACCGTTGTTTCGACCGACGTGGAAAACTTTACACTTACTTTATTAAAGCTCATGAGCCATATATTGCTAAAAAGCCTTAGGGTTCTTCTTAGCTTCGTTAGCCAGCCATTCCTCGACCTCCTGTCTCGCAGATCTAATTTCCCGCTTCAACTTCCGCGTGATCCTCTTATATTCCTCATAGTCCGTGCTATCTCCCGTCCGCTTGTACGCATCCCATTTCCGCTTTTTATCCCTGATGAGAGCTTCGATTTTACCCGTAAACCAGACCGGTTGCCTGCCCGATTTTATGGATTTCTTGGGGATGCATTCCTCCATCAAGCCCTGCAATAACGTCTTGAACGCCCTTCATTGCTCTTGTACCGTCAGCCCACGGAGCCGCACCTCCCAGTCGATACCTGAAACGCATTCACGTAGTCTCTCGAAATTAGCCTTCTTATAGTTGTACGAAATCATCCTCGGTTTGGCTTTACTCTTCGTCCGCTATATATTCTACATGATCGCGCAGTGGTCCGAATCTCCCAAGTTATCCTGTACCTTAACGTCTCGTGCCAGATCGTCGTTCGTCGCAAAAACTAAATCCAATAAAGCTTCCTCGCGAGTCGGTTCATTTACGTACCGAACGAGAAGAGCGTCCTGAATCGCAACGAGAAATACCCTATCCCTATCGCACCCCCCTTGCGGCACCGACCAATCTATTTTCGGCATGTCTCTGAAGAGCAATACCTGCTTCGAGATCTCGCCAATCCTACGCATGAGTGCAAAATAAGCTACTTCATCCTCGAGAGAAGAGTTGGGGGGCCTATAGCAAATTCCTATCACGACAAGAGACAAGTTGATGTTTAGGAAATTTAGCTTCTAAGTGTCAGAAATAGAAGTCCTGGGCTTTAGGATCGGACACACTTGGATGAGGTCCTCCCCCTTCTTTTATAGTTTCCCGAAAGCCCCGAGCAGACTACAGTTTACTCTAATTTGAACACTTATCATTTATGGGATAGGTATCTCTCTCCAATCCTTCATCCGATGTTCCCTTGGAATTAGACATTCCGACCCTTTCTTTCCTGGTCATCGAGCGATTCGGTGTGCGGCTACTCAATACCGGGAAACAACCTCGGTTCCCATTCTGTAGATTGACCTTGCACGAATTTAACTGATCCAGTATCTACTGGTGATTCCATTTGTTTTTTTTTTCTTTCCCCCGTCTGGTGCGATCCCGGCTGCTGCTGCCCACTGGAGTGCGCCGTCGGCCCTTGATGCCTCCCTGACACATCTGAAGCCCTGTCATGTTTCACATCTCGCTCTCCATTTCCGAATAAACCCATAATTGTATTTACTCTGACCAATTGCGTTGTGATTCCCACCACCAGTAGTGAGAAAAATGTGCGGAACCGTAACGATATGAAGCAGCACTGGAAGGTCGCTCGCTAGTACAGATGAATCGTCTAGGGTCTGACGGACGCATTTGGAAGAGGAAAAAACCTGGTACAAGAAATCAACCTTAGCATGCTGAAGGTGCAGTCAAGTTACAGTCAGTAGAGTCCAACCATCTTTGTTGTGATACGAAACGGAACGAAGTCTCCAGCTTCTGTCTAATATTGTTGCATTCTCATTATGGCTTCATTTAACTGATTCTTAGTAAGAACTGTGATTTCTATGCATTTCATTGTAGCATTTACTAATAGTGACACTAAACTCATGTAGGGTCAGAGAAAGAGCCAGGGTGCATCCCAAGGGCTAGAAGACTTCGTGATCGACGTGAGATTTATCAATGTTATTGGAGTGAAAGGATTCCACCCCCACCAGAGCAACGCTAAAATATATTTTTCTCTGGGCCTCTGTAACAATATTCTTTTAAATAAGTGATTATATTTAACTAGCTGGTACCGGTGAAACATTCACGTTATTTTAGGTTATTTCAGGTTATTGTATTTCTGTTTCGAAAAATTTAAATGAAACAGACAGGTGGAATTTTCAACGACCATATTTCGAATCAATAATATTGCGTGCGCCCCGCCATTTCCCGACCGCCCCCGCTAAACCAATCCCAGAATATACCAAAATACAGGTTTGGTTCTTTAGCATTCAAATGAGACAATTTGTACGAATTCGAAACTTCAGTGTATCAGATGAAAGAGGGAAGATGCTTCCCATCCTCTTAGATATCAAATTTCCCTTTTCTTTTCCCGAGTTTAATCTCCAGTGGACTGACCCGACCCACGGATAAGGCCAGCAGCTCGGTCCAGAATCAAGTTTCCTGTCACGTGCAGGCGAATACGCCATCAAAAGGATTATTTGCAAAAAAGGACATCTCGTTCCGTCAGCGCTCGACGCATTAAATGACGTCACTCTCGGGCAAGCAGCTTGCGGCGGAACGCAGTGAACTATGAGAACACGACAGGCCAAGACCATAAAGAGTGTATAAATTGAGGGGTCATGACCCAACCAGACCTTAAGTTTGGGGGGGGGAGTTCGAAGTTCACATGACCTGTCTTTCAAATGTCTCTAAATGCAAGAGGGTGTTATCAAATAATCAAGAGAGACTGCACTCATCAAAAACGCGAAAAGGCGCGAACACGCGAACAGAGAAAAGGAAACGAAAAATGCTATGAAATGATGGAAACGGTATTTGAACACTTAATGATGAAAGTACATTCGATATCTGAAAAAGGTTAAAATGAACTAAATTAATTTCGGGATTCAACCCAAATATCACTGCCCAGACATGCAACTGGAAATCCATTAACCTTACGATTCGCGCCTTTTATTTGAATTGTCGTCCGTCCGTTTTTAGGAAAAAAATTCGGTAGCGTCACATGTGACGGACGTTTCCTTGACAGTTGCACTTTGCTAAAGTGAGTTGCTGCATGTAACTTCCGTGACCTTCTTCTTTCACCTCCTATCTTCGTGCCTCTCCAGCCTCGCTCTCGGGTCGTTCGCTCGTGATATCTTTCGGTGTTCCCCACCCCGGGGGAGAGGGGGGATGGAGATACCAGTAGGAGAGAGATAACATGATGTGCAGGGGTTTGGGGGGATTCAGACCCCATGATCCTCTCCTATGGTGCGAAGCGCTGCACCCTTCCAGGTGTGGCCGCCATCTTACTGAATTCACACGTGCAAGGAGTTCATGGCAGACACTTGGGAAGGGGGAGGGCGAAAGAGGGAACTTTCCCCGAGCTATATGCCTGGGGGCCTCAACGCCAGGACCCAACCGATCACGCTATTCATTCCCACTTGCTAGACTTCACCAAGATGGCGGAAGCACTTATAAGTCTCGAGGCATCGAAGGCCTCTCCAGAGATACTCATATACACTCTATGGCCAAGAAGAACGTGACGTCATGGGAAAACCGGATGCGTCAGCAGCGCTGCTTTAGGCCCTGTTACACTTGGCGAGTGGGCGAGTGTGGCGTTACATTAAGCGAGTACTCGCTGGCGAGGGCTTGCCATTTACTCGCTTCAAGCTGCCAGCCATCTATTCCATGAATGGGGAATTTGCTTTTTTAGCAACTGCGTACAGATGTCGATAAATATGAGATATGTAAAGATGATGGCTGCCAGCCGAAAGTTGAAGTTCTCATCAGTCATGGTGGATCTGGTCGACAATGTGATGGCACGCCAATTGTCAAAATGACACTTAGAAGGTCGAGGAAAGCCAAAACAGGAAAGCCAGAACAGAATCTTCGATTCTGTTCGAGTGATTTTTCCGAAGATCCACGAGCCATTCACTTCATATTTAATTTATCTTAAGCTCTTCAGTCATGAAGTGGCCATAAGCAATCTCGACGAGTTTCACACCTGGCAAGGTAACGAAGGGATGAAATGAGCAATTCCTCTGGTTGGATCTATGAGTACGTTTTCTTCTTTGTTACCCTTGGAGCCACCTTCTCCAAGAGTTTCTGGAAGGTTGCTTCATTCATTTGAAGAAAGCCAGTGACATGATTGGGAATAGTCTCTTTTAGGTGGGGCGGAAAAAAGTTGTGTGCCACCAGAGTAGATTCCTCGTTTTAAGGGAGTAAAATCCCCAACTCCAGTTTCGCTCCCTTTCACGGATATCGTTCACTTTTTTCTAAGGGTGAAGACCCAGAGCATCGTCCAACTCTCCACTCTTCCTGATAATGTATTCAATACCCAATCTCCAATGAGGGCAGCAGCGACACTGGCGTCGAACGGCAACCGATATAGACGCATCCCGAATTCATACCAGACGCTTCGCGTTAACCTTTTCAGCTCCTGTCTTGGGAGGCGTGGGGCTCCATCTTGCCTCGAGGTTGCCTTTTCATTGGTTATTGCTAGCGAGTACTCCCCTGAAGTTTGAAATCTTTCAAACTCAGCGAGTGCTAGTGAGTGTTAGCGAGTGGGGTGTTACACTAAGAGAATGGCCCTAGCGAGTAATCGCCTAGTGTAACAGGGTTTTTAGAAAGAGGACGAATCCGAGGACCCCGAGTTCTAAATTCAGAGGCCTAAGCGGGTTGTGGGTTGGTGCGATCGGCTCGACACGACCAGCGGAGGGGGGATCCGTAAAGTTCGGTCCAGCGATCGAGTTTTGGGTCTGGTTGGACCACAATTCGAATCGGACCGAAAGGGTCGGTTCCGGAAAAGTTGACTCGCGCAAACCTCAGGCGGACAGACAGGAAGACGTAACCCGTGAAATATTCACGTCTGATTGCAACTGATGGAATTCATTCGAATGGCATTCGAGTGAGACATTTCGCAGGATTTTTTTAACCGCCAAATTTGGGGTCATTAATAAAGAGATGGAGTATGTGAGATTCTTTCGTCATCAGAGGCCCTCCAATTGACTTTGAACTCAAAAAGGAACCACAACCCCAGTGCCCATAAAGAAATTATTTAGCGAGATCCCCCGACGCGACGGAGTGAGACTCGTCTCGAATGATTTTCGGCTCCGTAGGCAATGGCGTATCTACCGAATGTGCAGGCGGTGGAACTGCACTGGAGTCCAAGGGCCAAAGGGGCCCATGCGCCGAGAAACGAAGAGGGGGGCGTTGGGAGCCACTTGGCATCGGGACGAGGTGAGAGCAAATGGAAGGTGAAAAGGAATGAAAGGAGTTGAACGCGACACTGCACGGAGACATCTCGCAACTGGGACGCCACTTTGTGTGCTTCAATAAAGTGGTGGCTACCTCAAATACCATTCAACCAGGGTCGGATTAGGGAGGGGGGGGGGGGGGCAAAGGGGGCTGTTGCCTTGGGCCCCGCTTTTCCAGGGGGGCCTCGAAGGAAATTATACACGTTAGGTATTTGCGTAAAGTAGCGGGGGGGGGGGGGGGGGGCCAAGAATTCACNGGGGGGGGGGGGCGGGGGGGGGGGGGGGGGGGGGGGGGGGGGGGGACCAAGAATTCACTAGCCCCTGGTCTCGCAACTTCTTGATCTGGCTCCGCATTCACCCTTTCCCTGGTGGCGGATTCAGAAGAGGGAGGGCGACTGCCCCCCCTTTGGCCAAGTTCGAAGCATATTTTTTACTTTAGAAAGTACATAAATTAATGTTTAGTAGTTACTATGAAATAGATATTCAGGGTTTTTACCCCAGACGAAAATTGAATAAGGCGATAGGACGAATGGGGGGGGGGGGGGGGCTGGGAACTAGGAAACAGGCCCACCAAACAGGCATGTCCATTTTATACAGGAGAGGGATCACAGGAAAAACCTCCTAAGGACGACAGAAGCCCTTTTGTGTTTCATTCATAAAGAGGTAACTCCTTGGGAATCATCTTCCCAAACCTATTCTGGACTCCGAAAAAGAATTGAAGGTACGTTCAGGATTAAATGGGGGATGATGAGGCGGAGGAGGTGCTCTCTGTGAGCCGTTACGTGAAAGCCATGGTACAACCATGTAGCACAAGGTGTCACGGTTGCCCTCCGACCTTTTACCTCGGCTGGAAGCTCTCATAATGAAAGCCTTCATTAATCCTCTGCCACATCTCTCAATTTTGTACCGGTAACCAGAACTAAAGACTGGGGAATGTCTGCATCCTAATTCAGAATTCTCATAGAGTCTAACGGTCCAACGGATTTTCCACCATTTTCTTTCTCGTTCGGTACCGTTTGGTGATGCCTGCAGGAGTGCGCCGTCGGCCCACCTCGTAAAGGTACCCTTTGCGGACACTTTGAAGTCCTTTATAGGTGCTCGTTCCCTCTTTTTTCATTCAAGTATCCATGCCACGTAAACGAACGGACTTGCAATAACCGGACCATCGTGTTGTGACTCCCACCATCAGCTAGGAAGAAAGTTTTCTCCAGGCATGCGGAACCGTAACAAGATGATAGTGCCGCTCGAATACGATAAGAGGTGTAGAAGTCGGAAGAAGAAACACTCCCTCTTCCATGGGTTCGGCCTAGCTGTGCGCACACGTTAACCTGAAAATGAATTAGTATGATCACTCTCGGAAATGTTCCACTTACCAGACCACACGTATCCCCAATCGCTGAAAGGAGAAGACTGAGAAAGCTTCTCATCGATGGCTGCTAATGTCTCGGGAGGGAGGGAGCGAATGGCGCCGGTGTTCTCGTCCAGGATGTCTCCTCTTTGCACTGCCTTCTCCCCCACTCGAATGCCTACTTCATCCCAGGTCGGACGCTGCAACATGGGAAGCATTCTCAAGAAATGAAACATCTCACGATTCGTCCGTGTCGTGGAAGGCAAAAATCCTCAGCATGCAGTGAATCGTTGAAGCGATCGATACGACGAGCCGAGCTGGCGTGATTCAGGATTGGACTCCTTTTCTGAACGATGGCATGACTTTTCATTTCTTGAGTAAACTCGCTTACGTTCTGATACAAGACCGTCGATATTCATCTCTCCTAAAGTTTTTTTTTTCGCGATTCGACGAGTTGGGGTCCCATCGAAGCGGCTAACTGTTGGCTCGGGAACGAGAGAGGGTTCTCACTGATACACCGGCCTAAAGAATTCACGATTCGCGTTTCTCGACGTGTCGCGGGCGACTTTCGTCATGCAGTGAGATGCTACACGGCACACGTACGTCCGAATTAAAGAGATCGCGCGGGCACGATGGCCGTCACGCGAAGACGAAACGCAACGCTTACGTTCACGAAAGGGTCCGTGCGATTCCACCAACGTTTCCACAGTGAGTTTCCACCATCGCACGTGCGTGGACGCAAGTGGGTTAGCGCGTTCGAACTCTGGTGAGTTCACTTTCAAAGCAATTAAACTCGAAAGCAGCTGCATGCGCTAATGCCCACGAAAGCACGAACTCACGGGAAAGCCAAAGAGTGAAACCGCGTAGACACGTGATGCCAACGCATGAGGAAACTTATTGCATACATGTGATGACCTTTTTTTGATATTGGATGCTTTGAAAGAAGACCTCCACTAAGAAATTTTCAATAGGTGGAAAGTTCCGTTAAGAATGAGCTAGGAGATCACATGTTGCAAGAGAGGGAAAGAGTCTTACATTCAAGAACATTTGTTGGTCATCTAATCCCAGGAGGATCCCGAGGTCGTCTTCGGGGTCCGTGGGACAGGAGATGGGGACGACACGCCCTTCTTTCATCATCTGTTTCCATAAGTTTTGATGTCGTCTGAGGTCGTCGATGACGACGAGTCGAGTCCTGGAGCGAGAGATCACTTCCAGCAGCCAGTCGTCATTCACGTTGAAAGAGATGACGGTGGAAGCCTCACACCCGCGGAAGTCCTTGAGGTGTTTCACTCGGACACGAGGCCGAGTTTTCTCCACTTTCTCTCGCAGTGGCGTCAAAAGTCCTTCTTCCGATACCAGGATGTGAGGAGCTTCGTTCGTCGATTCGAAGAGCTTCGATCCCAAGAGGGAAGATAAAGCATTCGCAGTGATTCCACATGTGCTCCTCCTGCTGCAGATATATCCCAGATGTCGTCCCGGGCATTTTTCGCCTTTGATGTCGACGTATCGGACGGGTGGGCCGGGGACGATGGAAGCTGGAAGAGCAGAGACGGACAGGTTCTTCGATTCCAAATCGAGAGCAGTTGGAGTCTCGTTTTCTCGGATGTGCCTCACGAGAGCCAGGTTGCTCCGTTCTGACCGAAGCACTATCGCAGTGCCGTCTTGCCTCTCGTTCAGCATTTTGACGACTCTGTCTACTGAGATCTCAGAGGTGTAATTGGAATGGGGTTCGAAGGCGAGGATGAGCTTCATCTTCATCTCTTTCAACCTTTCAACTGTCAACGCAATCCATTTTTCTGGAAACGGGTCGAAGAAAGGACAGTCTTCGACGACCACGACCAGCGGATCCGGCTCCGTCTTCTCTCCCGTCTCTTCCCTCTTTCCCTCTGCCTTCTCTTTTCCAGTTTTCTTACTCCCCTTCACCTTCTTTTTTCTCTTCTTCCCTTTCTCCATGTCTTTCTTTTTTTTGTCCTCATCCTTCTTCTTCTCCCTCTCTTCCACTTTCTTGAATAAATTCTCCAGAAAATCTATATAAGTTGCATGGAACTCGTCCAACTCAACATTTTCTCTTCCTTTCCATCGCTGTCTGTAGACTCGGCGAGACAACTCCCCGCCGCAGTGGAGAATGAGGACTCGGCCTGTCACTCGTCCAATCAACAAGTTTACTTTCCTGGATTTTCCCGAGGCTGGGTAGCCGAATATCCCGCTGAGCGAAGATGCGAGCATCTTTCCCACGTCTGCATCCTCCTCTCCTCTCTCATCCCGATCCATTTCCATTCCAGGAATGGATTGCCGAGGGAATTCAGGCTCATCCAGCACTCCCAAGTTCTTCCCTCCGTGTTCTTTCAATACTTTTTCAAATTTCGCATTGAGACTTTTTTCATCCGTGTTTCCCTTCTCGATCTTCCACCCAAGTGTTTCTTTTATTTTCTGCGGGACGCGAGAAAACTTGCCCGTACTCCACGCTTCTTCCTCGATCACTAGGATCTTGTTTTCTCCTGTGGAGGCTATCAATCGATTGTAGTTTCGCCAATGCGACCGGAGGAAGTCGAGGACCACCGTCACGTTCAAAGGGTGACATCCTCTCATTTGTTCCTCGGTGACGACGACGAGTGGGAACGAGCACTCTGGGGCAGGCTTCCCATGAAAATCGCCACCCCATAGAAAAAGAACAGGGAATTCAGGGTATAAAGACATAAATATGTTCAAGAATGCATTTCTTCTCCTTTTCTCATCAACAACGACGAAGACAGGCCTTTTCTCGGATGCCTTCCTGCATTCCTCATATATGACATGAGAGGCCCGTACACACTCGCATATCCTTTCATCTTTACATTTGCGATGAAGAGCCTGACACGAGGTCATCGAGATGAAGCGAGGAAGGCATTCTCCGCCCATCTCCTCGGGGTCTATCTCCTCGGAGTCTATCTTCAAGGACGGCGAATAGGATACGAAGACGCGGCGGGAGTAATTTCCGATGGCCATGAACAATTCAGAAATCTGTCTGGTATTCCTCTTCACACTCTCGAGAACTGTGATGCTATGTCCTGCTGGTTTGACTTCTTCGAGGGGAAAATCTCTCGTGTAAGATTGGTCATTGGGTCGAAAGCAGATGGTGATGGACTTCACGTCTAAGGTTTCCATCCAATTCCAATGGTCGGAAAGGGCTTCGGTGGTGATGATATCCGGGAATCCTAGAGTGAGGGGGACTTCATCGATGAGGACGTGCTTTCCGCTTCCTTTCTCGATCAGGAATTCCTTGAAACCTTGAAAATCCTCTTCCAGGCCCTTCTCTCGCCCCTCTCTCCCATCAATAACCTCGATTTTCTTCTTAGCATCTGTTGGGACAAAAATTAAAATCTTTTCAGGCTTCCGACATGCACGGACATCGTTTAAAGTAATACTTGAAACAGATTTGTTTCCGAGAATTCAAGTAGATAAAAAAAAAACGCTGCACACTTTTCATGTGACAACTATATTTACCAGCACATATTTAACATGTTTCAATGAAACTCATCCCGGAAACTGAAATAATTATGGTAATGGCAGTGCGCGATAAATGCGCCAGCTTGCTAGGTCCAGCTTCCTCAAAATACAATCCTCCAAATAAAATACCTCCCGAATATACTTCTGTATATTGTACGCATATATATTGGAAATAAATTGTTATGATGGCCTCGCTGTGGAAAGTCCACTTGGATGGACGCTGGCATTTACACGATGGAGTTTTCTTTTTGGAACAGTCTTGGATGGAGATGACACCTACATGCCATCACATATTTTTCAGGGAGGAAGCCGTTGGTGTCATGTAAAAAAGTTTAAACTTTTCTTATTATGGGATAAGTGCGATAATGATAAAAATGAATATATCTCCCCTCTCCTGTGGGTCCCAGTCTGCGCTCATTTTGACTTAAATATCGGCCGTAGGTTGGCAATGTTGATGGGATTTTGACGGAATGTTCATGCTGATTTTGTAATGTATAGTCGATATCGACTGGAGACTAAAAATCCATATACGTAAGAGGCTAACTTGTCTGTCATTCTGTCATTCCGGAAAACTCCTAGACGGATGAACGGATTTTCATGAGTGAGGCATCAATCGAAAGCTTAGGACCTGGAGGAGATACTTATTAGGTAAAAAATGTAAAAAGTACGCTGTGAACGTGTTCTTCTGTCTTTCTGCGCGGGAAACTCCTCTTAGGCGGATGAACGGATTTTCATGAGTGAGATCGTAAGCATGTTACCAGAGACGATACTTTCTGGATCAAGAAGAAAAAAAAAATCGTCCCATTTTCATGTGATGCGGCCACTTTTCGGCCAATAAGAATAGCACAATACCGAACGCTTTCCGGAGAAGTGCCCATTCGTCATGACCCGCACTCGACCTGAAACTTGATTGCCTGGGTTCAGAACTGGAGGTCTCAAATAACGCATTCTCTCGCACTCGAGCGGAAACTAGATTCGTCATCGACCTTCATCCCCGATGCATGATCTGATCGGTCCTATCGAGCCGATCCGCATCCCGGCCGACCTCAAAATCTTCCCCCAATCTACCTGGGCGTTCTTAAATGAAAACGACGTGTCTCACTTTAACGTTAAGAAGCGGAACTCTGAAGATTTGCATACAGACGATTGGGGTTTCCCTATAGACGAAGCGCATCCCAATATAATTAGTCGAATATAGTTAGTAGAGACCGAATGGACTCTATTTCGGTCTGGTGTTTCGGCAGCAGCAGCAAGAGTATGTGGGGGGAAGCGCATCGGAGTGGCCGTGAGCCACCAGGCCGAACGCCCTGGTGGACACCAGCGGTGCGCGAGGCTGTCACTCCCAAGAAGGTAGCCTACCGGGCTTACACGTCCAGTAGGTCTGATTCTTTTAGGGCGTGCTATTCCGAGGCGCGACAAACTGCTGCTCGTGTTGTGGCCAAAGCGAAACAGTCTTCGTACGCAGTGCGTAAGAATGCTGCTCACTTTTGGTATTCACGAAAGCGCTGAAATTCTTATCTTTCTTCGTAAGTCTACGAATGGTCCCGAGGTATCGTAAGTGGCCACAATAATGACGTTGTACACCTGACCGGCAATCAGGAGGCCCGGGTTCAATTCCCGGCCGTCCCCTGGCTTTCTTTCGTCCTCTCTCGTCCATCCAATCTCCCCTCCCGGCCATTCCCATGACAGAAGGAATTCGGCGACTAAATGGAATCAATCCGCACTGCCATCAAGGTGTTCTGGCAAACCATCCGAAGGTTACGACAAGTCAGACAAGATACGCTCAGGGTCATCAAGGAGAGAAATGGGGAGGTGTTGGCTGCCGAGGCGGATATACTTGAGAGGTGGAAGGAACACTTTGAAGAGCTCTTAAACCCACCAACAGTGGACACTGACCAGTGTCCTTGGCGCGGAGACTAGTCTCACCATAGAGGAAGTTCTGCAGGCCATTGCTAGCCTGAAGAATGGGAAGTCTCCTGGTGTGGATGAAATCCGGGCGGAGACTCTGAAAGCAATGGGTATAGCTCTTGGATTTATATGGTGTGTCAGGCTGCTTGGGAATCGGGAACGGCACCTACGGATTGGCAACCGGTGTGGTGGTTCCTATTTCTAAGAAGGGGACTCGAGGGAGTGCACCAAATATCGTGGGATCACTCTCCTCAGCATACCTGAGAAAGTCTATTACAAGGTGCTGGTGCAGAGAGCTCGGGCAGTCGTGCGTGATGTCATCCAAGAGGAGCAATGCGGCTTTCGTGAAGGGCACGGCACCACGGACCAGCTGTTCACTCTCCACCAGATCCTCGAGAGGCATTGGGAGTATGCCAAAGATGTCTACATGTGCTTTGTGGACCTTGAAAAAGCTTACGACCGTGTACCACGAGGAAAACTGTGGGCAGTGCTGCAGGAGTATGGGATGAAGGGTCAGCTATTGCAGGCCGTTCAGTCCCTTTACAGCGATTGCAGAAGCTGCGTCCGAGTGAGCGGGAGGAGTGAGGATTGTTTTCAGGTAGGCGCTGGACTCCGGCAGGGTTGTGTCCTCTCACCTTTCCTGTTCCTCGTGTACAAGGTCAGGATCTGTAGGCGCAGCCTCGGTCTAGAGGGGGTCAACATCGGTGACGTCGCGGTAAGGTTACTTCATCATGAACCGATTGGAAATCCTTGAGAATTATGGTGGCAGCAGAAAGGTTCCGCAACCTTAACATCTAGCAAAACATTGGTAACAATTTCACAGTATTTTAATCCCTCAAGAACCACAAGGAACTCTGAGTAGCATCTCAAGAGCACCCTCCCCAAGACAGCTCCCAAGTTATGGATGATTCTTAAGTATATATCAAGTTGAAAGCCGAAATTCTTGCAATAGCAGAAAAGCCTCATCATTCAATAGAAAAAAGTCGGGTCCGATCTAGAACAGAGAAAGTCGCAAAAACTGAAGGGATTTCCATATTCGGAATATGAAGCACACGGGGGGAAGCACATTAATATCGGGAGCGCATCCTTTTGGCACATATGACCTCATGATACAAGAGTCCCTTTTTGACACAATAATCGTCGTTTGACACAATGATGCGAAGTCGGTGTTTACCCTGGCAACACCGACTTCGCAGTTTGGTTTTACAAAAGAAATGACTACATGTAATTGAGAATTCACGTGAATGAAAATCTAAATGTTCTCAATCAGATTGCATGAGGAAGCATACTGATTTGTCAGGAAAAGTTTTCTGTTTTTAATGCGTTCGTGGAAGTACTGCAAATACATGTACGGCGGAAATGGAGTATCTAGGAAAAAAGTATATGCTGGCGAAGGGCCTCGCTCAACTTCATTACATTAGAGTGCATGAAAGTGAAGAAACACGGATAATATTTGATCAAGGCGTACTTAACTTACCTCTGAAGTCACGTCGAAAATCCTTAGTGAGATCTCCTCCTGGAAGATTCAAGACCAAAACTGGTCCTTCATCCATTAAGTCGAGGGCTCTTTTTTTAAGGACGAACGTTTTGCCCGTTCCGCTCGTGCCAGTTATGAAAAGGATTTTCGATCTTCGGTTCTTCACTAGTTCCCTCTGCTGACGAGTGAGAATCACCAGCATCGGCTCCATGTGTTTTTCACTCATGGCGTACAACTGAGTGTGGTTGCGTGGGAGTTCCACAGTTGATGCTACACAAACATAGAGACTAAAGATTTCCTTGAAGGTCTTCATGATAGGCGATTCGGGATCCCAATCCGAATGTGTTTCTAAATTGATGTCATTTCTTGCCAAAAATGCTTTGAACTTATCTGGAGTTTTCACATCTTCTGAGGTGACGATTCGCGCTCTGCAATCTTTACACCTGATGACTTCCTGCAACTCAGATTCTCTGAACATTGGAAAAGCGGCGAAACCTGCCAACTTAACAGAGGAAAGCGAAAATTGACTACAAATAGTACGGAAAATGTTTATGTCTTTCTGAACTCTCTCAGTGGTTCTCTTGAGCAACTCAAATATCACTTTTAAATTTCCATGTGATACCGTTCCATCGATTTGAAAGAACAACCCTACGATGTTTTTTCCAGATACTCCAATTCCAAAGACGTCATGAGCACCAGATTCCAGGTGTTCCTCTGTGACTCCAGATATTTCGAGGAAGTCTTCTTTTTGTTGTTCATTGATTACCGTGAGCAAGGTGTCTGTGAAGGCGTAATCAGCGATTGTCAGGGAAGGCACATCCTCGAATGCGCGTTTGAGGCAATCGAACACCATAGCAATGGATTGCTGTTGAGATGGCATGTTCACCTCTTCTTCACGCTCTTCCATCTTTTCCTTCAGCTCCTTGAATTTGTTCACTTTCAAAATGTATCCCTCAGGTAGGGAATACGCCTTAGTGCAAGCTTCTGGGTAATTCAGTGTCATATACTCTGCCATGACATTATCCAGGGGTCTCTCATCATCTGCTCCCATATATATTTCGAGATTTTTTCGGATGTCAAAATTTCCTCTCCCATCATACGTTTTCAGACGTCCCAGTGATGAAAATTCCTCGCACACCTTGCATCCCTATAGAGAAAATGGAAATTCATGGATATAGATATCCGCTGAATTACTCTAGAAAGTCGTATTCGAAGTAGTGCAGCCATTTAAAAAAATATATAGATTGTCCAGTTTAATGAATGTACCTTTGCCTAAAATTCTATATATCCATAGGGGTAGGAGTTATTGGATTAGAAGTCATTTGGTAAGCTTTAGCGATGTGAGCTTCTGCTCCACATTTTGATGAGAACTGTTTCACTTTACTCGAAAAAGTCGACTCACTCCAATATTCAAAGACATCAGCACGGTCTTAATTGAAGCAATACTCATAGGCTAGCTATCGCGAGCAGTAAGGATCCACAGGGGTGACAAGATCATCTCTCGTAAAAAGAAATGCAAAATTTTCTTAATGTGGAATTATTGAGGAAAAAAAGGATAGCGGAACAGTTCTAGTGGTTTTTATATCAAACTATTGGAAGGCAAGCACAAAAGACACCATGGATGCAACATTTTCAGAGTGACTTTCATGAAAATCCGGCACTCGATCTGGCACATCCGACACAAAACGTTTAACGTTGCTGACTCGAAGTCAAAGGCGCTATGCAACCTCTTAATCTGTGTTCCAACCTATTAGGTTGGAATAAAAGTAATCCGGTCACGATTTGTTGCTTTTTAGTTGAAGGGTTTGTGCTTACTGGTATGAAGCTGCTTTTATAGAAACTGTAGGCTATGGAAGCGCCGAAGGCGCGTCACATAGCCAAATAAATTTCATAATGCATTCATAGCATTCGTTTTTGAAGCTCACCCTTAAAAATGCCGTTGATGAACCTCATGGTTTGACTGCATTAGTTTGGCAATTCTCGTATACCAAAAATACAGAGTTGTGCACAAGTCCCCGTACACTTTGATTTGCGCTTCGATTCTCTTTAGGCGTCATGGCTCCAGAGGAAAAAATTCAAATAAAGACTGAAAATTACTAAAATAAAAAGCTTTCGTAGCAAAAATGTACGTAGAATTGGAAAAAAGCAACATCAGAATCGCCAAAAATCCGTTGATTAGAGGAAAAATTAGATATTCAGAGTGTACGGGAACTTTTGCACAACCCTGTAAAGTTGCTTCAGAAAATATTCATAGTGACATCATACAATTTCGAGCATAAGGATCGCGAGGTAAACATTCAGTGCCTCGTTTAGCGTTTGTACCTTGTATATTGAATTAAATTCCTGCATGTGGTCATCTCACTCTTCTTGGCGCATAAATTTAAAAATCCATAGTAGCAGACACTTAAGCTTATTACTTCATAGTTTTAACCCTGCAATTCCACGTAGACTATATGGATTATTATCAATATATTAATACCTAATTCGGACATAAGGACTCTATGGAAGTCCCTTTTCCAAACTCTTCAAAAGGTTCCATACAGTTGTCCATGAATAAACACGTCATTCCGTAAATGCAGCCTGTAGCAATGCCTTCCGGTTTCTTCGAATTGTGCATATGGAAATAGCAGTGGCCGAAGCATCCATGAGCGGATTAGACATAACCCTTCTAAATCGAAATGTCGATGGAAAATCTTCCTACCATTTCCCTGCAAGAACAATATATAGAACCCATTCGCAACTGGAAGCGCATGGGAAGGTGGGGCAAAACGGGGGGGGGGGGGTTTAGGAAAATTGTCAAATTTTAGTACCAAGGAATCGCGGATTGGTATGCGGTACCTTTCATGTCTTACCAACGAATACAAGTCAACTTCGTTGCGAAATCAGAGACGGTTTTTTCTCCTCGACAATTCTAAAAAGTGTCGTCAAATTCTCTGTAGAACAAAACGAGTTACGCCTCCAAATATTGCTTTACAAAGTTAGTAATCCAATATATATAGACGATGGTGATTGACTGACTGACTGACGCTAATTCTAACCATGTTCCAGAAGGGTTAAAAATCTGAAACTTGGTACATATGTACCTTTTGGGAAGCAGAGTTCAGAAAAAATCCGACTTTGGAGGTACATGCCCTGGGGGTACATATTTTGGGGGGAAACTTTTTTTAAAAATATATATTGTGACAGATGAGGATGGCACTCAGACTATCGACAGGTCGTGCTGGTTTCGGTGGTGTAGTAGTAGCATGTCTGCCTGGTAATCAGAAGATCCGCGTTCAATTCCCGGCCATACCGTGGCTTTTTCTTGCTTCCATGTCCCGTTACTCATTCCCCCTCCGTAAAAATATTTTTGCTTGAGTAAAATGAAGAGACATGGAAAGCTGAAACTTGGCATGGATGTGCCTACCGAGACGATGAGTCCAGGAAAAATGTAACATTTTAGATCCATGACCTGGGGGCATATTTTGAGGAGCCGACATTTTCCAGTATTTTTTTTGTCCTGGGGAATGGAGCCGGTGTGGAATGATGAAACTTGGTACATTACTCCCTATTGGGATGCTGCAGAAAACGTCAGACTTTGGAAGTGAATACCCCGGGGGCACAAATTTCAAGGGGGGATGTTTTCAATTAATTTTTTTGCATTAGTTAAACCGATGAACATAGAAAACTGAAACTTTGCATAAATGTGACAACTGAGACAAGGAGTTAAATAAAAATGTTAAGTCTCGATACATCCCCTGGGGGAATTATCCGAGGAGCGATGTTTTAAAAAAAAAATTGTCGTGGCGAATTGGACAGAAATGGATCATAGACGTCTATGGGAAATCGTGTTTCGCATAACGAACACCTCGCATAACGAACGCACCGCTGGAACGAATTGCGTTCGTTATGCGAGGTACCACTGTATTTATCTTTCATGGTGTATCCTCTTCGGGCACAGCGTTAGGGTGGGAAGGCTTTTCCAAATATGTTTTCTCACCAGCGAAAAGGGCAAACGTATAATATTGAAACGTGGTGGGCATGTAGTTCATTGAGGATGTATTTCGGTAAGAAATAATAGGTATGTTTCGAGAAACGGCTCACGGCACATGTTTTGCAAAACGCGTATTTTTTCGATCCAACAAAAAAGAGGCCACGTGAAAGTTAAAAAAAAAAAACTTGGCAAATAAGTACCTAATGGATGGCTACGTAAAGAAAAAAATACATAAAGAATTGTTTCGCTAAAACCCATCAGGGCTCTTTTTTGAAGTACCATTTTCCTGAACATTTTTTTGATCCAACGAAACAGATTCAGAAAATTTAAACTTCCCTCAGAAGTTCCTGTTTAATGGCTGAGTACAGGAAAAATCCTACTTTTGAAATATGTCTCCTTAGCGTAGATTATTGAAGGGACGTATTTCAAAATTTATTCTCCACCCTTACTAAAAGAGACAAGAAAAGATTTAAAGTTAGGCACACATAGAATTATAGAAGTAAAGAGTTTGATTAAAAAAATCAAGACTTTTGACCTCATATGTCACGTATTTCAATGGGGACGTACTATAAATATGTGTTTCCCATTTCACAAAAAATGAATAAATTAATCACTATCCTAGGTAATAGAGTGCCGAAGGCGCGACCATGGCGAGTTTGTTTGCCCGAAGGGCAAACAAACTCCCTAGTATAATATATACCTATTTAAGTAGGTCACAGAACGGAAACATCAATGAAATATCTACAAATAGCAAAATAATGATTTTCTGCATGTTTTCCCATGTATTCCTTTATGCAAACTTAGGAAGTTCACAGAACAGAGACCGAAACATCCATACATTACAAACGTATGCTTTCTCTCCTTTCCCCAGGTCATCATTCTTACAGAGATCGAAGAAGAGAAACAACATGGAAACTTCTACAATTAAACCGTGTTTTTAACTCATGTTGTGCCTTATTTTCCTCACATGCCTATTTACTAAGGCCACAGAACGAAAACGACAATAAAATTTTTAAAGCAAGCAGTCGTTGCTGTTTCAATGTATTATCCATGTATTCAATATATAAGTAAATTTACAGAAGTCACAGAAAAATGCGTCCTCATCCATGTTTTCATCGATGCCCACACAGCTGTCATGAGCCGAATTTCATCACGACCCAATCACAATCTATGACGCAACCTTCACTGGGTTTTTAGGGAGAGAAAGAATTTGACCAGTAACACATTGCATCGGCCAGAGCCTCACCATCGTAAAGGATATTCCAGCCAGAGGAGACGAGATATATACAGGTAGAGCCCCTGCATCGCCCCATTTTGCCTTCTCACCGTCACCCTGTTATGCCCACCGGCACCGTCTATGATTAAGACACTGCCAGGCAAAAGGTGAGTGAGCTGCGCAAAAACGAATGACTGTGTAATTGTTCGAATTATCACCTTCATAAAAAATATCAGACGCTTTTAATATTTCCATGTTACATTGTTTCGCTCATCAAAAACTAGAAACAACACAAGAAAAATGGATATTTTCTGATTGTGCTTCTTCAGTGTTTAAGAACTACTTTACAGAGCGCCGCCGTGCCTGAAAACTTGCACACATGGTGGACGGTTATAATAGGGGAATTCGTTGGTATATATATAGGATATGGCTTGGTTTAAATCTCAGTTGTCCCGTTTTGCACCTCGCCCCATTTTGCGCCACCTTCCTCAACTGGTACGGTTCAACTCATGTCCTTCCCCTCACCTATAGCCCAACGGCATAGGTCAAAGGCCTCTCGCCTGAGGCTAAGGCAACAGGATTCTCGGTTAGAAGAGCCAAGAAGTTCCTGGATGGTGATGGGTCGGTCCAGATTGGTATAGGCCGGAGCGTCTGTGCAAGGGTTACATACAGGCCAGCTAACTCAGTCCCCTCAGGGCACGTACCTTCTATGTGGAACGTCATTAGTGGTATGGAATGTCTCCATAGCTATCTCAACATACATAAAGATGGTTTAAAGTTTGTATGTCTGTCTGTCTGTCTGTTCGTTTATACATTCTGAGACTGCAGGAGCAAGCGCAGCAAAACTTTGCATGGCATCCTC